TTTTTCTTCTGTGACTTCAAATTTGGTTCACAGATAAGTGGATATTTTATACAAGTGTAAATCTATGCACACAAGCTCAGATTTATTTTCTGCAAGTGCTCACATCAGGTTTTACACGCTCTCGCATTTTGCACCATATCTACCTTCATAGTAACGCTTTGATCTTTGAACACACCTGTCGGTCGTTAAATAAATCCAGTGGTAATCTAAAGATGTTCAGAAACGATGCAGGAATGTGGTGCAAGCCAACACACTCTCACTCCCTAAACGTCCAGGAGCGACGCTTGGTCAGGGTCCCGTGGCGTCCAGTTGGGACGCTCCTAGGCTCCTTCAGCTTCATAAACGGACGCAAAGAGCTTTCAACTGATTGCAATGTATTCCCATCGGCGGCGGTATTTGGCGCTTTGGGAAGCACGGCATTCGTTTGTGTCGGAGGCTGTTAAAGGCAATGTGAGCGTCCACTCCCATTGGATAACGGAGAATTGTACACCCGGAAGTAAGTATTCCCCTTACTGTCGATTGATTTGACAGTGATATCTCCACTACTCATCAACTCAAAAACACCAGATTATCCTTGTTAATTAAACGACATTGATAGGTTTGAGTGTGTGTACAATGCTTTTGTCACGTTTTCCCCTTCAATTCTGAGAAACAAGTCGTTTTCTATGAGTTTTGGATGGCCGAAGACATTACATTACCCACAATCCTCTGTAGCAACCATAGACTGTATAAAACAATTAAATAATACATTATTCCGAGTGTGCTTGCTTTTCTCTTTGAAAGTCATCACATAACGGCATTGTAATACACGTTTCGGCTGCATTAAATATGACATATCTGCCGTAGTTAACTCTATGTATAGAGCCCTGATGACAAGACTTCTAGACAAACAGGAACTGCCGCCGAAACTGAAAACTTGACGTGGATCTTAAATATATAAGCAATTAAACAACATCTTACATTTCTTTTCACACAATACGTCTCCTTGCAGTATCAACACTAATTCGGCTGACTTTTATATTTGATCCAATTGGTAGATAGGCTGTATTTACGCCATAACGGTGCACAGCTGATAGAAAGGGACACCTACTGGTTAAAGCACGTTATTGCATTTTATAATTGTATTATTAGATATTAATAGGATCCCTATAAAGTATATTCTTTACTCGTTGTTATTCTCTACTAATAGTTAATTAAAGACTGTATATAATGACTATTTTGCACATCCCATTCAAGATTACGGTGTAGTCAGTGGCGGCCGGTGGTCTTTTTTTTTGGTGGGGCTCTTGACGTACCGTAAGTGACCTACCCGGGGGGTTTCCCCCCGGAATTTTTTTTCGAGAAATGACCCCTTAAATGATGACTTCTGGTGATGTTAGAGGGGGGGGGAAAGGAGAAATCGAGGCTTAAAAATATGAGAAGACTGATCAATACCTCCATAATCTTCAGTGTGGAAAATATTATTTATCAACCTGAACATCTACTACTTTACCAGGAATTTGTGTTCTCAGATCTGGTCTGTTTTTTTCTTTCTTAAAACACCTTCACCAAGTAGCTTTACAGTGAACTGCATGTGAGATATAAAATTAATAGCATCTTTTCAGTAGCATTAATTATAAATATTTAAGTGGTTCAATACAAGTCACTACAGCATTTCAAACTGAACTGTGAATAAATGCAATTTAAAAAAAATAACCACAGCACAAAATGTCATAAATTGTGTTTTTTCTTTGTTTCTCTGAGGATTATTTACAAACAGGCTTATTTACATATAGCAATAACTCAGAAATGAAAAAGCTACATCGTCTAACACGAACAACCAGTTAGCATAATGATAATATATGTGTTATGTACAATGTAACTGGCAAGGCTAGAGCAAGAAAGAACATAAAGTTTGCAAAAGGTTTAAATAACTTCAAGTATCTGTCTTCAGATTACGTGGAGGTTTTAGTCCGATGGGAAGCAGATTTTAAGCGACACCGAAGATAAACCAAAAATGTGGTGGAGCTGCAAACCGTGTAGTGTTGCTGGGACAGAACAGGAGCTATAACCGTTGGAAAATACATCACAGACAATGCAACAAACGTGGAGACAGAACAATCACTTCTGTGATAAATGCCCACTTATTAATAAACTTCTAACAACCATGGGAAACCTCCTCTCTACATATAAAGTGATATCCAAGCATGGGAAACAAAAGACAGCATTTACCTGTTTGCATCCAGCTAGCCAAGCCTTTCTTGTGTACCGGCTACTTGTGAAGCCTCGTGTATAAATGTTGTCTTTTTCACGAGATTGCTGCGATATATTCAAATCGGGTTGGTCCGGTCCAAGGTCTTTAAGCAACAATTTATCTGCCAAACTTCTCCTTTCGAAAGGATTGGAGATTAGCTCTTGAACAGAATTAGGCGGGGACCGAGGTCCGGAGACTCCACCTGCACACGAAGCCATCCTCATCAACTACTGCGTCAACCGGATACGAGTCACTGTCCAAACTACTCACAGACTGCACTGGGCGCTGACATTGGCGCCCGGTGACCGTCATCTTTGACGACGCTGATTGGCTGAAATTATATTTTCGCGGCATAGTTTACACGTTACAGATAGCAACAGTCAGCTGCTGGTGGCTGCTGCTGCACTGGTTGAAGGCTCCTCTCTTAGCGCCCAGACGAGAGAAGGTGCATGGGCAAGGCCAGGCAGGAAACATGTGACTTATCAGTAACTTTAGACATCGTAACACAATTTTAAACGAGATTTTATTGTAGATTATACATTTTACTGATACCAATTATATAATATTTACCTTGTTCATTAAAAATAAAAATAAAAATATATATATTTTTTTAAACATATATATTTTTTTTAATTTTAATTTTAATTTTCTTTTTTTTTTCTTTTTTTTTCAATATGGGAAGAGGTGGGGCGGCGCCCCTAGCGCCCCTATGGACCGGCCGCCACTGGGTGTAGTTATGCAATGAATGAAAAACTTGGGTCGCAGGTTCCTGAACAGTGCATTACAAGACATCTATCAATATGTGTGTGTACCTCCACCATTACATTGTCATATTCTGCACATTTCTTATACTATCTACATACATCTTATAAGAGTATAATACATATGTATAATATCAGTTAAAATAAGTGCTTAAACATAGTTAACATTGCAGGAAAGCAATATATTAGACGTTAAGTACTTTGTCAGGCTAAATATTTATCTGTAGATACAAATGTCACTGTGTGTGCTGTGTGCTCTGCATGTGTGACCATCAAAGAGGGTTTCATCCCTCCATATTCATCTTCTATACCCCCAAAGCTTTTTTCTTATTCAAAAGAAGACCTTAACCTAAAGTATTCTTTAATGTTTAAATAAAGCCTTATTAGTTGGTCTGTTTTGTACATCCTCCTATTAAAGGTAGGGTAGGTAAGTTTGAGAAACCGGCTCGAGATCGCTAGAATTTGAAAATACACAACCGGAGAAAATCTGCCACTTCCTTACAGAGCCCCTCCTCCAACACACACGAACGCGCACATGACCAATGAGGGCACGAGATAAGTTTGTGCACAGATGGAAGGCTGACAGGCAGGTAGGCCATCCAGTTATTTTAGCCGGGCCGGCTAAAATGATTGGTCGTACTTTTTACAGTACTACGGCTTCCACAGATGAAATGTTTTTATGGATTTGTTGTCAAAGCACTTAAGATATTCATTGCTATCAGGATGTTAAGAGCATTCCATGGAATATAACAAAAAGTGTATCTCAAGCCGGTTTCTCAAACTTACCTACCCCACCTTTAAAGTTCAAACTCATAACTTGGACTCCCCTGACCTTTACACACAGCAGCGCAGCGTTCAGGCTGATCCTTCCTCAGAACAGACTGAGCCATCGGTTTTAGGAAATAATCTGTATCATTTCAGCAGCCAGCCAGTGAACCAGAAATACTGAGGTGTCTTTGGCCTTTAACCTGTGTTTAGTTGGACAGGCCTGTAATCGTGAAAATAAATGAGGTTTCCGATACAACCAAACCGATTCTATATTATGTTTGGAGGTAATGGAGTCTATACAGTCACAGTTTTAAAAACGTGCATAATATTGTAAATTGAAATAAGACTAAATTGCAACAAAACTAAAGTAGTTGGGTAAGTTATATTGTGGTAAGGTTAGGTTTAGTAAAACATCATGGTTTGGCCTAAAAAAAGTATGTCTGTTAGATAACTTAATATAAATGAAGTCAACGTTGACTTTTGTCTTGATATTTGACACAAACTGCTGTGTCATTGGTTAAAGTCCCACGTTTGTTGACTCATCCACCCACCCTAACTTTCTCTCTAAGAATGTTTGATACATCACAAAAACATAACCTGGGAACAAATGTGTTTCCTTAATTACACAGTTGATAATGCAGTTTTGTTGTATGGAAAGGTCATTTTTTATTGAGTCAGTGCAGTACACAGTCTCCTGTGATGTGTCTGAGAACCTGTTGTTCAGAGGAGCTGCCCTCAGCACTTCAGTGTACACGAGCTATCTGAGGTGGCCTAGCCTTTAAGATTTACTGGATTAATCATTTCAGTGGAAAGTCACCTCCTGAGTTCCCAGAATGGTTTTTGTTTCCCGTCGTGCAAAACCTCTGGCAGTAATTGAGTTATACCTGGGGGGCCTGCAGTGAGCCGAACAGACACAGTGAAGGTCTGTGGGATGGAGCTGGGATGCCTGAAATTAAAAGCACCATTCATTTAGAACCATCTTCCTCCATTGAACCTGAAAAGCATGAGCGCCACCGGGAGAGAAACTCTTGATCTATCTCTCTGTCTGCTGCTCTGCCTGAGTAAGAGGAGATATTATCATCAAAGCTCATGGGTATTATAACACATTTATTTTGTGCAGGTATGACCATATTATGTATCGTGTTTATTAGACTCTCAGCAGAGATGTGAAACCATACCTCTAAAACCTTTTAACAGAATTGGAAATGACTGTAATCATGTCTGTGCTTTGTGTACAGGCTGAAAACTCTGCTCTGTCCATGGAGAACGACACTCAGAGGAAGCAGTATGAACGCTGTCTTGATGAGGTGAGTGTTCCTGATCTCACAACACAAACTAATTCTGTCATGTAAACCATAGTATTCTATATTTGGAAATGTCCCATACCCCTACTGGCAGAGGTAGGTCAGAACTGATTTGCAGTAGGAAGCATTGTCATTGTACACACATATATGTAACCAGAATGGACTGTGATTAAACATCAGTATTCACATCTATCTTTTTGTACACCTTAAAAAATCAAGATAAAGTGTGTGAATGGCTCCTTTCTTACACGATTAGAAAGTGGTATCGAAGGAAAAAGGAAATAGAAATCAGCATCAGAAACAGGTTTAATGCCAAATAGGTTTACACGTACAAGGAATTTGCTCGTGTATATGTTGCATACATAAAGACAGTTAAAGAAGATAACAAGTAAGAAAAACATACATTAAGATATAGAAAGTTATTTACATCAAATCTGGATGTACCGAAAATCTACATAAAATATATTATTGCAAATTATAACAAAATATGTGCAGTACTGTTAGAATGGAAAGATGTGTAGATAGTGGGGAGGTAGCTTGTGTACAAAATGTGCAAAAATATTCTGAGGGTTGTGTATAACTGGCAATACTTAAATAAATAATAAATACATAAATACAAAATAAAACTCTAAAAACTTGAATGTTTTACTTCCGGCGAGACAAGGTAATCTGTTCGTCAGGACTCAGACTCTTGCTGGTTAAGATCCACCCTCTGGTACAGGTGAGGTTAGTGTGGTCCATGGGGGAGAGGCAGGAGAAGACATTCCTATTTGAAGACAGACAACAGAGTGTCTGAATGTCTCTCCATCGTTCTCCCTCTCTATCCGCCCTCTCTCTATCCCACCCCCCTCTCTATCCCCCCCTCTCCTGCCACCAAGACTGCTGCACTCTATCTTTGAATCAGGCTTTACTAATGGGCTTGTTACCATGGAGATTGCTGCCCATGAGATTTTACATATTCTGGATGAGGACAGACATTTCAGGTTCCAGCTGTGGGATGCATGGCTCCTGCTGCTCACCTTCAGTATTAAGCACCTGCATCTTCTGTGAAGCTATAATGTATGCTTCCGCTTCAGAAATATAAGAAACAGGGAAAAGGCATTTCAGATTAAGAATATAAACATTTGATCATTCTAATTATCTTAGTTATATCACACGGTCTGAGATCAGCCAGTTAAATGCATGATCAGTGTTTATCAGTGTGTCAGGAGGGGAATCGACACACACTTGTAGTTATTATTAACTCACACTTTTCATCACCAACAAAAAAAACAAGCAGTGAAGAGCGGCTGTGTAGATTATCCTGCTTATAACACAGCTACTTGCTGAAGAAAAACAAAACTTTCACACAACATATGGATGTCATAACGATTTATTGATTTAAAAAAAAAATGTATTGTATTGCGATTAAAGCCTTCTAAATATTAGCAATTGATCAGGTCAAACTTTGAGAAAATGTTTTTTATTTATGTGCTGAGAACTTCTCAGCACATAAATAAACCAAAATATAGTCATAAAAAAGATGTACTTATTGCAGGCAGCCGCTGTGTGAATTGACAAAATCTGACTTTGTGATGCAACCCGCTGTCAGTGTGTCCTCACAGGACCTTACATGCCTCTCATTCTCTCTGATGGTGTTTGTAGAGGGTCACTTTGTTTTACAATCGCTCTGCCTCTCACAGTTCCTCTGACATCCACTCTACTGACCAGACTCATGATGCATGTTAAGATATTTGTTTTCACGTCTCTTCAAGGTGGCCAACCAGGTGGTCCAGGCACTGCTCACACAGAAGGTGAGTCTGTCTCTACATCCTGCATCCAGTCAGCTATTACAGTCAGTCAGAGAAATGGTGACCTTCACAACTAGTGACTATACTGTATGTCAATAACAATAACAATGATTAGCAGCACTTCATTTCTCATCTCATATTCTATGACAATAAAATAAAATCTTATATTTTCATTATAATGCATGTCATGTATGATTACATGTGTAATACATCTCTTTATTTTCTCACAAGAAGCTATGTTTGTCATTGCAAACCAGCAGACGGACAAAATAGAAAATATCTCTGAGCTTTAACCTTAACACTGACAGCAAAGCATACTGAGAATCTGAACTGTGTGAGGCACATCCAACCAGTTTGCTGGAAAAGTTAAGAAACACACAATAATATTTACTATTTCTGTAAACGTATCATACCACTTCTATCTGTTAAATTCCAAAGTGGCAATACTTTTGATGGACCAAAATGTTTTGGACTTGAACGTTAATAGTCTTGCTTCTGATTGCTAAACAATGATTTATTCCACCTCTGCATAAATGTGGAAGAAACATTCCAATAACAAGCCACACTTGTAATCCACACTTGTTCTTTAGCATACTGAACAAGTGGTGTGCATAACATTGGGGGACTTCTTGGAGGAATTAGATCATCTCATCCCTGAAACTGGCCCTCCCACTGTACTTCTCGGAGACTTCAACCTCCAGACAGGGAAGACATCTGAACTAACATCTCTTTTAACCGCCTTTGCTTTCTCACTGTCTCCATCCCCACCAACTCATAAAGCTGGCAATGTCCTTGATCTCATATTCTCAAGGAACTGCACGACTTCTAACCTCTCTGTAAACCCACTTCACACATCTGATCACTTTTTCATTTCATTCTCTCTACCCCTTTCCAAACATAAACTAATCTCTTCTCATCCTGCACCTGTCCGCCGTAACCTTCGTTCCCTCTCCCCCTCTACCTTTGCCTCATCGGTGCTCTCAGCCCTCCCTTCCTCTGACTCGTTCCAACTCCTGCCTCCAAACTCTGCTGCAGAAACTCTCCTCTCCACTCTTTCATCCTCTCTGGACTCTCTCTGTCCTCTTACATCTCGGCAGCCTCGTCAGTCCCCTCCTGCTCCCTGGCTAAATGACGCACTGCATGCTAATAGAACCATCCTTAGGGCAGCAGAGCGGAAACGGTGGAAATCCAAACACCATGACGACCTCCTAACCTATCAGGCTCTCCTCTTTCTCTGCTTCGATTTCTCAGGCAAAAAGCACTTTCTTTCAAGATAAAATCCATTCTTCCTATTCCAATCCCATCAACTATTTTCTATCTTCTCCACCCTCTTAGAAACCCCCAAAGCCCCTTCCCCCTCCTCCCTTCTGTCAAGCGAATTTGTTAACTACTTTGAAAAAAAGGTTGATGATATTCGCTCTTCTTTTTCTGACTCACCTTTACTCACCGCTGGGTCACCAGACCCACCTTTACTCACCGCTGGGTCACCAGACCCACCTTTACTCACCGCTGGGTCACCAGACCCACCTTTACTCACCGGTGGGTCACTAGACCCACCTTTCACCCACACACTAACCTCCTTTTCCCCTCTCTCTCCAAGTGAGGTTCTTACCCTCATTACCTCTGCCCGTCCTACCACCTGTCCTCTGGACCCTATCCCCTCAAACCTCCTTCAGACTATCGCTCCTGATATTCTACCGTCTCTCACCCATCTCATCAACACTTCTCTAACTTCTGGTCACTTTCCAAACAGTCTCAAGGAGGCAAGAGTAAACCCTCTCCTAAAGAAACCCACTCTCAACCCGTCTGATGTTATAAACTACAGGCCTGTCTCTCTCCTCCCGTTCCTGTCTAAAACACTTGAACGCGCTGTCTTTAAACAACTCTCCTGTTATCTCCATCAGAACAACCTTCTTGATCCACACCACCAGTCTGGTTTCAAGGCAGGTCACTCCACAGAAACTGCTCTCCTTGCTGTCTCTGAGGAACTGCACACTGCTAAAGCAGCCTCCCTCTCCTCTGTCATCATCCTTTTGGACCTGTTTGCTGCATTCGACACGGTGAATCATCAGATCCTCCTTCGCACTCTTGGTGTTTCAGGCTCTGCACTTTCCCTCCTCACCTCATACCTCAAAGACCGCACCTACAGGGTAACTTGGAGAGGGTCCAAGTCCGACCCTTGTCAATTAACTACAGGGGTCCCTCAGGGCTCTGTCCTTGGTCACCTCCTCTTCTCTCTGTACACAAACTCGCTCAGATCGGTCATTAGCCTGCATGGTTTTTCATACCACTGCTACGCTGACGACGTAATTCTGTCTTTTCCCCGCTCAGAGACCCAGGTCGTCGCACGCATCTCTGCTTGTCTAGCTGATATCTCTCAGTGGATGTCTGCTCACCACCTCAAGCTCAACCTTGACAAGACTGAACTGCTTTTTCTTCCGGGAAAAGAGTGTCCCACTCTTGACCTAACAATCAACATCGGCCCATCTGTTGTTTCCCCGACTCAGACTGCAAGGAATCTGGGTGTGACCCTAGATAACAACCTGTCCTTCACTGCAAACATCGCTGCCACAACCCGCTGCTGCAGATACACTCTTTACAACATCAGGAGGATACGTCCCCTCCTGACCCAGAAAGCGACGCAGCTTCTGGTCCAGCCTCTCGTCATCTCACCCCTAGACTACTGCAACTCCCTCCTGGCTGGACTACCTGCATGTGCCATCCGACCTCTGCAGCTCATCCAGAATGCAGCGGCTCGTCTGGTCTTCAACCTTCCTAAATTCTCCCACACCACACCGCTCCTCCGCTCGCTTCACTGGCTTCCAGTAACTGCTAGAATCCACTTCAAGACACTGGTACTAGCGTACCATGCTGTGAATGGATCTGGCCCTTCCTACATCCAGGACATGGTTAAACTGTACACCCCAGCACGTGCACTCCGCTCTGCATCAGCCAAACGGCTCGCTGCACCCTCACTACGAGGGGGACCCAAGTTCCCATCAGCAAAAACACGTCGGTTTGCTATCCTGGCTCCAAAATGGTGGAATGAGCTCCCCATTGACATCAGGACAGCAGAAAGCTTACACATCTTCCGGCGCAGACTAAAAACTCATCTCTTTCGACTCCACTTCGAGCAATAAAATGACTAACAAAGCACTTATATACTAATAAAGGACTGGCTTATCTAAAGCTAGTTGAGTAGCACTTGAAATGTTTTGGCTCTATGAAACCTGATGTACTTATATGATTCTGTTTTCTTCAAGTTTGTATCTTCTTGGTCGAATGCACTTATTGTAAGTCGCTTTGGATAAAAGCGTCAGCTAAATGCAATGTAATGTAATGTAATGCAATGTAATGTAATGTAATGCAATGTAATGTAATACTGTAGACCAGCTTTTAGAGAACTGTCACGATGAACACAGCATTGTGTCCTGTTCCCCTACATTAGCATCAGTTACACATGTAGGTCTCTGAAATACCCCATCAGTCGCAGTCATCAGTCCATTCTTGTCCTCCTCTAGGACTTGAAAGAGGAGTGTGTGAAGCTGCGGACCCGTGTGTTTGACTTGGAGCAGCAAAACCGCATACTGAGTGTTCTGTTTCAACAACGTGTCAAGATGTCCACGGCTCCTGTCTCCCAGGTAGGAACGCATGGCAAAATGGATACAAACAGGCTCCGACAGACCACGCTGCTGGCTGCAAGGCCGTTTGAATTTTACATGAGCAGTGCACTACTTCTAAAGGTTACTAGCTAGGAAAAAGGACTAGAAGGAGAGAGAAATCTATTCATGGTGTAATTTAATTCAAATCGTTAGAATGTGCAGATTAATGTCAGATTTTGAGTTGGAAATAGAATAATTTGGGTTTACTGTTCTTCCATTCTTTGCTACTGTGGTTAGTGTCATAGTGGCATGTACTGTAGAGTGCACTGTTGGTCATCAGCACTGTCTTTTTTTATGTTAATCCTGTCAGAATTGAGCCTAATAGTGTGCTAGACCTCTCGTCCATCTGAAGCTGCAAATGTTTCTCTAATTGGAATGCTCTCTCAACCACACCGCCTGGGGGATAATTGCTGAACACCTGGGCCTCCGTTAATGTTAAGCATCATATTCAGTTGTCAAGCTTCACCACTGCACTGGAGAGCTTCAAAGCTGCGCTAATTAATATTTCTATATACAAAAAAATTATTAGTTAACTTTGTCTTCCTGGGTGGGTGTTGTCATAGTGACCCACAGTGAATGATCACACAACTCTGCACTTACTCTCAGCTCGTTGTTCTGTTTTGGTGTGCAACCTTAGCCGTTAATAGCACTTTATGCTTCATGCCCAGCACCAACGAGCCAACAGAAAAGGTTAGCACCTAGCTGGTGGACATGTGGAAGCATTGAGCAACTTAAGAACAGGATATTTCTGTCGTGAGAAGGTGGAGACCAACACCAGAGGTGAAATGAGACTGAACATTTAACTTTCATTGGAGAAGTGGTCCAAACACAACTACAAATAAATGTGTAAATGGGCAATCATTCGCAATATGTTAGCAATAAAAACGATATGGTCAGGATTGAATAGTATAGTTTATAACTTGTACTACTGTCTTTCCAGCCAGCGCTGACATTTAGAAGTGACCAATTTCAATCCATTGTGATCGATTTCCAAATATGAATGCTTTATATCCATTCATAATACTAGTATATTTCACTCCGTATAGAAAAGATTGTTTCCAAAACTAAACCTGAAAGGTGTTTCATAACTAAGTCTTTCGTCACTATATTTGTAATGACTAGGTTAGCTAAGTTAGCTAGCTAGCTTACAGCAGACCTGCAGTAATATCAGAAGGAGTCATGTGATCACATTGTTAAAATAAGACCATAAAACATTTTAGGGACAGTTGTCCAGCTTTATAATCCTGAACATCATCAAGCGCTCCGGTCCCAGCTGTGTGCGCCACTTTTTAGTGTCCTCTGGTCTCCCAGCTGTGTGCGTCACTTTTTAGTGTCCTCTGGTCTCCCAGCTGTGTGTGTCACTTTTTAGTGTCCCCTGGTCTCCCAGCTGTGTGCGTCACTTTTTAGTGTCCCCTGGTCTCCCAGCTGTGTGCGTCACTTTTTAGTGTCCCCTGGTTTCCGTTGTGTTTTGCGCAGCGTTTTAGTAAATGCTGCACATGTTTTGTCATGTGAAGATGTGTCTTCATGTGTTGCGGCTCATTTGTGTTTTTTTCTGTGCATCGTTTTTTAAACTGCAGCGTGTTTCTCCTAATGGAAGTGTGTTGGGCCATTTCAACGCGTTTGCCCCTGTAGGCCACTGGTTACAACAGCAATGAGTTGAAATTAATAACCTGTCCCATGCTGTAAAACTAACTGCATGAATCTAAAGTCAACTTGCCTCCTCTACCATGAATAATTAATGATGGATGATACTTTTGATGGACAGATGAGTATTTTAGCATTCTGAGCCAAATATTAAAAGAACCCTGAAATGTTAGCCTTTCATTTTGTATTTTTTCAAGTGCAAGCTGTAATTGACAGAAGTGCTGGGTTATTGGACTGTAATGAGGATCTCTCACTGTCATTGTACCAGCAGCAATACTGAAACCAATTACAGACAAATGACACATTTAAAGTGTCTGCTGTTGACTAAAGCTCTACACGTATCATGCCCCTTTCACACCAACGCAGCTCCCGTTCTAGCTCTGAGCTTGCACTCTTCTGGTTCGGAACCGTTTTTTATTTTCAGCCCCCGTTTTGTTCACACCGCCCAGAGCCCGAGTGGTGCTGCGTCATTGCGTCATCGTTTGCGTCATGACGTATATTTTAGTGGGAATGCTGATACAGCATTCCAACTATATGTTATGCTACAGACAAAAAGTTTATTATTCCACTGACTTATTTTGGCCCTCTTCTCCTCCCACATTCAACATCGCAGAAACTCCGTTCAAACATCAAAACGTTCAGCTCGGTCGGGAATCGCAGGCTATTACTTTTATCATTCATAACTTTCATAATTCCAGAGATACATCCCATAATACATCACATTTTTAACATTTTAACTTTAACATTGCACAGCTCATTAAGGCAGAGTGCGTGATGTCACAGCTAGAGTGTAGGAAATCTACAAAAAAAATATGCCTTCATATTTTTTTTTTTAAACTGCCATAATTCCCGAACCCTACATTCCTGAGACATCATTTATCATGACAAACATAGGAAAACATCTCGTAGCTTGAAAAATGACAAATAATTAAGCAAAATAATTAAACAAAATGCCTCTTGAGGGCATGAAGTGACAAAAACGTTCAACATGTCTCCATTAAAACCCATTGTAATTTCAGGCTGATATTTCCTCACAGCAGCAGCCGCACACCTTTAGTTAAACTGCCAAAAAGGCCACATTATTAACCCGAAAGTACACACAAATTACACTTCAGATACTCAACTTCCTTGACATGCTTCACGTTTTGAAATTTCACAGATATCTGTTATCGTTCTTCCACAAAACGTTCACATGTAAGAGGTTTATCTCTCATTCAGAACAATGCAAACCTTTGATCTCTACAGAGCTCGTTAGCTCAACTACAAACACCTGTGTAATGGAACACGATGATGTCGTCACTGCAACTGACATGCTCAGAGCAGCAGACTTCAGATAATGGTTAATGGTCGTGCACTCAACAGCTCTACGTCAATTATGGGGTGTCATCATATGCCGTTCAAGAGAAGAGAGAGAGGGCGATCAAGAGTCAGTTCTAACTGTTCATTTCATTCTCTCTCTCTCTATCTTCCTCTTCCTCAATATCTTCCTCTTCCTCAATATCTTCCTCTTCCTCAATATCTCTCTCTCTCTCTCTCTCTCTCTCTCTCTCTCTCTCTCTCTCTCTCTCTCTCTCTCTCTCTCTCTCTCTCTCTCACACACAATGTTCCAAACGGCCCAAAACTTCACAGGTTTGGTAACGATGCAGCCATCAATGCATCTAAGCGTAGTATGGGGTGTCATCAAATGCCGTTGCCATGGCGACAGACCACTCGCCATGAAACACAATGTTGCTATAACTCCTATGAAAATGTTCAAAAAGTGCTCAAACTTCACATGTGTGCTAACAGTCCAGCCCTGAAGACATCTACGGGACAGTTTTGAGATTTCTTCAAATGCCGTTGCCATGGCAACACAATGCTCGCCATGAAACACGGTTTTCTCATAACTTCAGTGAAAATGCTCCAAACGGCCCAAAACTTCACAGGTTTGGTAACGATGCAGCCATCAACGCATCTAAGCGTATTATGGGGTGTCATCAAATGCCGTTGCCATGGCGACAGACCACTCGCCATGAAGCACGATGTCGCTGTAAGTCCAATGGAAACGGTGCGATCGTCCCCCAAACTTCGCTTGTATATCACCGGTCCAGCCGTCAACAGCTCTACATCAATTATGGGGTTTCTTCAAATGCCGTTGCCATGGCAACACAATACTCGCCATGAAACACGGTTTTCTCATAACTTCAGTGAAAATGTTCCAAACGGCCCAAAACTTCACAGGTTTGGTAACGATGCAGCCATCAACGCATCTAAGCGTATTATGGGGTGTCATCAAATGCCGTTGCCATGGCGACAGATCATTCACCATCAAGTTAGTTCAAAAGTTTGCAGTTCAAATATTCTGCTGCTTTTCCAAGCCTTTTTACTTTCTTTTCTTCACTCATCACACATTCAAGCTAAATTCTTCACTTTCTTCTTACACATACACTTTCTTCTTACACATTACATTTCAGCATAGCAGTTTAGCGTCAGCTTTTCAGCATAAAGCATTCCCACTAGCAATTTCTTCAGGAATTGCATTCTCTAGTTCTAACATGTTATTTTCATCTGGGTTAATTGCTTGAGGTTTGATTAATTATTTTATTGAAATAGAATATGTGTTTCTCTTTCCAGTTAAAATGTGCACTTGAATGGAGACTTTTGGTTAAAGCCAAAACAATCAACACAGGCTGCTTCTCAATGTCAAGGAAGGATCCTTCAGAGCCTCTATTTCAAGGATGCTACATCATCGAATCCCGCCGAAGGACTCTTCCAATGTACAGGATCCTTCTATCGAGGACTGAATCCTTTGTTGCAGAACATTTCAAGGCTACTTATGTGTAACCTCGGCGGTCTTAAATTACCCACAATTCTTTGCGCACGGACCAATTTCCACGGACTGGCACGGTGGCATTAATAATGCAGTAATGATGGGCCTGCACAACATAAAGAATAGAGGGCAGTTTCAGTTTACTTGACATTTGTTAATTGTTAATGGTTATTTTTTTCAAATCTGCAATTTGCTTGTGTGTGTGTTTACATTATTAAAAATACAATTTAAATGTGATAACACATTTTCTCCACATCGATAAGTGTTAGAACGACTACAAACATGCACAAACTATATATGCAAAATTGACACGGAAGAAAAGTGTTGCTTGCTTATTGTGCGGGAAGCATGAAATATATATATAATATCTCTTCCTCCATCTCAAAACATTTATGGATAAAAGACAACAACAAAAACATGTCCGTCTTCGCAAATCAGTTATGAGTCTTCAAACAAGTCGCGCTCAATAAGGCGGGGCCTTGCATATGCCGCACACCTGCACACTTGCTAGCCTGTTCCATTCTTC